AGAGGAACATAGAGAAGATTCCAGAAGTTGTGAGTTGGAGAAGTCTTGCCTTTCTTTCCCAACCCCTCCTGGGAGAACATCCCAAAAGCAAATGCCTAGATGTGAAAATTTTCTGAGCAAAACTCCCAGGTGTTCACAGGAAAGAGACTCCCCTTCCCAGTGCCACCTTCTGAGTGCCAGGTGTGGAGTCTCTGCCTCATCCACTGCCTACTGATGTGGAAGGCCATCTTCTCCAGGCCTGAGAGGCCTCTTCTCCTGGCTGGCTGTCCTTTCAAGCCCCAGGCATCCAGCATCACACAGAAATTTGACGTGGATGGAGTGGGGCAGCCTACAATGCTTCCACACCTATAGCCATGTTTCTGGACAGTACCAGCAGGCAAGACAGAACTCCACTTAGGAAGAGAGACTCAGCTGAACAGTTTATAGCTGTCAGTCTGACCACTTAGAATAGTACTTCCTCAGCTTTCTGATTGGGGAGATTGTTTACAAGGCGAAGTTGGGGACATTATTTTGACCTTGAGACTGGCAGGGATGTTCTGTCTGAGGTGGTCAGGTTCACATGCACCTTGTCTAAATTCTGACTGCAAACCCAGTCAGAACACACATGTGAATGCACACGTATGTTTGGCACAGATGGGAAGGCTGGTCATTCTGGTGAGTGTGGATGGTGAGGCCCCTCCCCCCAACATGTATCCAGTATCTGCGTGGAGCCAGCTTGTGACACACAGTGACTAAGCATCTAGCAGCTGGAACCAATTGAGGGACACCTCCTGTTCTACCCAGAAGCCTCATTAACTACTCCACAACTCACAGATCTGGCCTCCAAGTTCCTCACCCCACACCTCTTCCCTCTGCCAGCATTGCTATTCACCATCCCAGCAGGCCAGGCATGGCACCACCTCCTGCAGGAAGTCTTCCTTAAGGACATAGGAGAACTACAGGCCATCAGAGATTCATCCTGAGCTTACCCATGGATGTGTCAGTAACCCTCGGTTATACAGTGTTGCTGAAACATAGTAGGTGCTAGAAAAGTTTGCTGAAGGAAAGAATGAACAAGCACTCATGAGGTTCCTCACTGTCATAGAATCCAGCAGTCTAGGGCTGAGCCAGATGGCTGAGCCCCCTCTGTGACATCTCAGACACCTTTACAGTGCCCATTTGGACAAGGAGTATGGGTATTTAACTTGTCACATAAATATATTGTGGCTCCTAAGTCAAGTTCTAGACACAGAGGTCATCATCCCTCTTTCCTTTCAGCCTGGGACTGGGTAAATGTGAACTGCTCAGCCATCAGCAGCTGGCTTCCAGGAGAAATGGATGAATGGGTGATAAGCTATTCTTGGGGGCATTTTATTCTGAGACTCAGAACCTGAGGACCATATCCTTTCAAGGAGCAATAACAGCAAATCATCAAGGAAAAGTAAATTTTCTGAGTTTTTCCACCTGAAAGGAAAGTTGGCTAATGAACTCCAGCTGTCACCTGTCAAAGTTTACTCACAGGAGAATAGCAAGGAACCTAAAGCAAGAAGAAAAAGCCCCAGCATCACCAGACGAGAACTTCCCATGTCCACAAAGGTTACCATCCCTCTGCAAAGTTGTCCTGTTCCAAAACCCCAATTCAGACTAAGAAGAAGCCCTCAGAGCACTCGGAAAAGTAACTTTCCCAACCTGGTCTTCAAGTTCAAGGAAGGAAAAGTAACTTTCCCAACCAGGTCTTCAAGTTCAAGGAACTTGAACATTCTTGATAACTGGCACAGTACCAGGCACAACACCGAACAGTAGACTCTGCTGCTGCATTGCTAGGATCAGCCAGGCTTGTCATCTTGTCATTGCTGAAACCTTTCAAAGACTCTGAGAACAAACCTGAATTTCTCTTCTTGGTTTTAAGGCTAAAATAATTGTCCTCCTGCCAGGATGCCTGAGCATTGTAGTGTGATGCTATCCTCACTATCAACTCTAAAGGAACTCACTCCCCCCAGTTCTCACCATGGAGGCTGAGTTCTTCTCCCCTTGCTGTGCCTGATGGGCAATTGAAGAAGTGGGAGTTCCCAAGAAGTGTAAAGAAAACACCTTGCAAGAAAAAAAGCAAGTTTCCCAGCAGCTATGGTTTGTTTCCTAAATTTATGTGTTGGAAAGTGCATCCCCCAGAGTCATGTGTTAATGGTGTTTGGGAGCCAGGATCTTTGGGAGGTAACTGGATCTTTGGGTCAGGGCTGTGCACTCATGAACAGAGTAATCCATTTGTAAGTCAATGGATTGGCAGGTTATTGAGGGAGTGACTATAAAATTTAGCTCTCGCTAGCACTCTTACCCTGCCTTACTAGATGATGTCCTCCACCACGCTATAATGCAGCAAGAAGGCCTTGCTCTTAGACTTCTCAGCCTCCAGAACCATGAGCTAAATAAATCTGTGTTCTTTATAAGTTACCCAGTCTATGGTATTCAGTTAAAGCAACAGAAAAGACTAATAAAACATCAGTACGATGTCATCTGAAAACACAAGAGAAAGAAGGCTCTTGGTGGCAATGGAGGAGCATGACTTCCACCTCCAGACCAGAGGCTTGCCACTGTACTCCATCAATATCTGAGAAATACCACTAACCCTGAATACACAGCTGCAGCTGAAGTCCTGCACCCCGTTAGTTGCACTCATGCTACCAACTAAAGCAGAGGACATCACCTGCATTGCAGGGTAGCCTCTCTGTGCCCTACTGCCTCCCAGGGACTGTCTCCTTTGACCCGGAAGGCATAGCAGACCCTGCTGAAGATTTATGAGATTAGTAGGTATTTGGCTATAGTCAGTGGCAGATTCCATGGGAAAAACACCATTCTTAGCTCCACAAAGATGTGGATAGCGAAGGATGCAGTTTAGTTCATTCTGGTTCCTTGGGAGGAGCCAGGCTTTCTAACGTTCAACAATTGTCATTCAGTGCCAGGTGCCAACCTGCTGCACAGAGAGCGTTTCGCAAGACAAATGCAATGCCTGGGCCTGCAGAGCTTCCCATCTGCTGGAGGCCTTGCAATTGGAGGAGAGCTGGAAAGGAAAATGTAAAACCCCTGGGTCTTCATAAACAGCTGTTCCTCTCAAGCCTGAACAATCACAGGATGAGCCTCCTGGAAGAAAATCCACCTACAATACCAGTAGATAAGCTTGGGTTCAAGGACCTGAAACATAAGCCAAGAAGTAATGTCCAACTGGATCAAATAAATACCTCACCTGAAAGCCAGCATGCCAAGGCTGTCCACTGAGCAACACCCAGCAGGGCTGCACACTGACCCCAAGTGCCTGGGCTTCAACAGATTGCCTCCTGACTGTCCTGGTTGGCTGTGTGATCTTCCACACATGGTCTTTTCTGGAATTTGGCTTCCAAATCTGTAAAATGGTGACAATAATAACTTTCACCTATAGGAACTGAGTGAGCAAAGCATGTTAAATGCTGAGAACAGTGCCTAGCATGCAGGTGGCCCTGGGTATTTGAGCTTTTGTAACCGTCCATACTGACTTAAGCAGGGTGCTGTTTTTTCTCACTGATATGTTAGGGTGCTGGGCAATTGAGAAAGGTTCAGAACTCTAGCTGCTAAATCCATTTCTTGTGATCCAATTTGTTTATTGAGTGAATATTTATTGAGTACCTATTATGTGAATATTTACTGAATGAATATTTAGTGTGTACCTTCTATGTGAATATTTATTGATGAACATTTACTGAATCCTACTATGTGCTGGGTACTGAATCACAGGCTGCACTTGGACACATTGGATCTCAGAGTTCAGCATCCATGTGAACTTGCTGTTTCCTGCTTCTTGTCTTACTGCTGTGGAGCGCTTTGAACACTGAGCCCTCTTCCCTGCCTGGCTTAGTCTCCCCTGCCTGCTTCTGGCCTGTGCTCACTCTGTCCCTTTGCTGATTTGACACCTGGCTTCATCCTCCTTCCACTCCCTGGGCTCCATGTTGGTCGCAGGCCCCTCAGGCTGGCTCCCATGTTTCCCTGGAGGCTGTTCCTCCCCCCCTCCACCCCTCCTAACACCAGCAGCTAGTGTCTTATCACACAGAGGCATACAGCATATGCCCTGGGAACAATGACCTCACCACACTGTAATTTTGGTGGTTATGTGAGCGGAAATGACTATTATAGAGGATCCTTCTGTGCTTTACTACGCACAGCTGTTGTAATGGGAACATGGGATTTCCGTGTTAACACTGCTGTTTCCCTGCTTTAATAAATCCTTCTTCCCACTTGTCTCCCAGAGGAGACAGACATTCTGTGCAGCAGCTCGAAGTACCCTTAGTGCAGCTTCCTTCCTGCTTTCCTGACATCCTTACCCTCCAGCCAGACCCAGATCCTAGAGCTGCTGGAAAATGCACTCAGTAACTTGGCTAGCCACAGAGCAGCCCTCCCACAGAAAATCAATTCAAAGACCCAGGGAGGGCTTCTTCAAGAAAGAGGGAAAATATATCACAGAGGCAAGAATGACAGCAGAGTCCCAAGCCTGTCACTGGATGAACTATGTGACCACAGGCACATCACCTCTTTGGGCCTCAGTGTTCTGCCTGTGAAATGGGCTGATAACACCAGACACCTCACGAGATTGCTATGAAGGCCACATGAGAGAGAAGACTAGAAAACAATAATAAACCAATGCTTGGCATGAGAAGACCATCCCCAAAGGGTCTATGTTAAACACAATAGTGCATGTCTTCATTCACACCACAAATGCCTGGTAAGCCTCTGCCAGCCATGGGAACTGGCCTCCGTGCTGTGATACAGAAGGAATCTGGTGCTTGCAGGGTGCTTTCCAGAAAGGTCAGAAGCCAAGCTGAGTCTGGGCCAGGTCTGTGTATCTGAAACAGAGGTCTGTGCATGCAACATACCATTCTCGTCTATCTGGTGCAAGCACAGAGCTGCTTGCAGATGCATAAAGGGTACAGGTTTGGGCCAAGGTGCTGCAGGGCATGGGGAAGCTTCTTCTCTCACAACAGCCTCTTCTATATCCACAGATTCTGGCCTGAGGATGTCTGACAAGTGATGGACATTGCCATTATTGCAGGTGAGCTGGGAAAGGCACAGGGCAGAACTGGCCTGGGGATCTGCTGGGAGAGGGGGAGGACAGGCCCACGGCCAGTGGTTTCCTGCCCTCAGAGGGGCTTTGAAGGTGGAATGTAAGAATCCAGTCCTGACAGGACATTTCCAGCATGATGCCTGGTGGAGTAGCAGGTGGAGGCACAAAATGGACCTGGTACATATGTCAAGATGCTCTCTGCCTCCAGGCCCGCAGGGACTCAGGCTGGAGAGAGAACAGATTGGGCAGAACAGGTTGGGGATGGAGAGAATGAGCAGGTAGACTGACAGAGGCTACCAGGACTTCTCTGCATCTCCCTCATCCCACACTAGTCCTTGCCCTGAGTCACACACCTCAGTCCCAAAGGACATCTGACCTTCGCTTGCCTTGTGTTGGACCCTGGGCAGTGGTTCCCCACTGGTCAGAGGTGTGACCCAAACTGCAGTTCAGGAACCATCAAGTTTAAGAGATCTCTTGCTCTGTTCCCATCTTTGCACCAAGCTTCTTACTAGCTTATTAATAGTTCAGGGGAAATTCTACAATTAAAAAGAAAAAGAAGCAGCAGGAAGCCATCAAAGACACCTGTTCAATTTCATTGAACCTAGCATTCTCCTGCTCATTGGAACTTGAGCCCTTCTTTGTCTCAGACAATATTATTACTGTTGCACAGACACAAGTGTCCCCCTGAAGGCAGTAGGAAATTTAGGAAATTGTTCTATAAAAATGGGATTTGGGAGCAGTTTTTACCTCCCCAATATCTCCAACAGCCCCTCAAATAAACCTGCATTCCAAGTAAACACACAGGCTTGTTTTGAAACTTCAAATTAAATGGACAAACTTGAAACACTCCCAGATGGGACTGCTGTCCTTCAGCTCTTCCAAAATTCCCCAGTCTTAGCCCTGACCCCATCACTCCCCAGGTCTGCCTCATGAGCCCACCCCCAGTGATCTGCCTTACTTCCCTGCTCTCCTGAATCCTAGTGCATTCTTGGCATTGACCTTGACCTTGTAGCTTTTGCATGGCCAAGTCCAGGTCCTCCTGTCAGACTCAGAAATTCTCACAGAATGAGTGGTCACAGGCTGGAGTGAGGGGCAGCTTTCCAAACCATACCTCCTACCACTTATCCCCTTGTTTTCTCATCTCCTCCTACCCCTATGTCTCCAGAGTGTATGTGAAGAGTAACCAACTCTTCCCAGTTTTCTGGGACTTTCCTGGTTTTAGCACAAAAAAAACTTTATGTCCTGGGAAACCCCTCAGTTGGGATTTTCTGAAGACATGAGAATTCTTTGTTCTATGAACCCCTCTGCTTCAAGCCAACACACACACTCATGCTGTGCAAACTGCCTGTTCTACAATAATCCCTTATAGTTGTCTTGTCCTCAGTAGACACCTCCCAGAGGGATCAGTCCTGAATACTCTTCAAGCCAGGGTACAGCTTGGAGGCAGGAAGAGGAGAAGGGAGGGAGAAGAGAGAAGAGTCTTTTGAAATGGGTACCCAGGCAGGAAGCAGCACAAGAGGGAAGAAAGGAATCAGCCTGCCTGCACTTGATGCTGCGCTTGATGTCTGACCTGCCACGACCCCTATAGGTGCTGACACCAACCCCAGACTGACCTATGCATCTCTCCTTCATGCAGCTGTGATCACCGCTGTGGCCTTAGTCCTAGTCTGCCTCCTCTTCGTCATGCTTCGCTACCTGTACCGGCACAAGGGCACATACCACACCAATGAGGCCAAGGGCACAGAGTTTGCTGAGAGTGCAGACATGGCTCTGCAGAGCGACCCTGCCCTCCAAGATGCCGGTGACAACAGCAGGAAGGAGTACTTTATCTGAAGGACAGCAGACCTCACCTCCCCAAAAGCTTCCTCCAACTGCAGGAGAGGAAATGCCCACCATCTACCACCATTACTGGCACTGGTTCTTCCCAAGATTTGCACCATAGAACACTGGGTGCCTGCGAGGGAGGAGAGGAGGAAGACTCCAGCAGTGAGAGGCCTTTTCCAGGGACCCAGGGACACAGCAGCCACCCCCAGAGACTGGCCTTAGCTGTGCCAAGAGGAGAGAAAATCTGTACACACAGGTCTCCCTGGACATGGCAGGTATCATCTCACCAGCCTGAAAGCCTTTCAGGGTGTAAGTGGGGTGGGTGGCCTGGGACTGGGGATGCAAGAAAAGGACACATCCATATGCTGACTGGGGATAATGGCATCAAATGTCAGCCCTTGACATTTGGGGGGAACAGCAGGTGCCAGAGCTAAAAGGTACCTTTGTCTGCCATTGATCCAGCTCAAAATGATTAGAAATAAATCTGAAATGTAATGGAGCAATCTGTGTGAAATGGCACCACTGTGACTGGGGAACAATAAACCCAGCCAGTGTGGGCCTTTCCCCAGTACGATTTTGTGTCCTCTGGCAGAGTCTGTGTGCATGAACTGTCTGTCCATTTCTGGAGGGAGTGTGTTTGTGTGTGTGAGTGTGTGTGTGTCAGATCCTTCCCCCAAACAGGCACCCAACTGCATGAAACAAATATAAGAATGAAATGCCCCTCTGGAAACAGATTGTCCCAGTGGTCAGGGCACTGGCTGATGACTGAAGTGTTGGTTTTTCTGGTATTAAAAATTAAAAAACAGACCTGTTCAACAATTATGAGTGAACATTGTCACCAGATAGTCCCAGTGATAATGACACCCATAAAAACATAGACTACAGAGCCCTGTTCCCTGTGTTTGAGTCCCAGCTCTCCTTTCCTGGTCTTAGGAGTTTGGGCCACTTATTTGACCCTTCTAGCCTCAATGTTCTCATCCTTCAAGTGGAAATGATGTTAATAATGGTATCTACCTCATAGCATTGAGGGCAGGAGTGAAAGTCAAGTACCCATGCTCACTAGCCCAATCACGAACTCACTGGGTAGACAGTGTGTGTGTGGAGGTTAATGAAAACTCCTCATTGCCTCATTCCTAAACACCTTCCAATGAGTAACAGAGAAAACGAACTCATTCACCACCCCCTTCCAGGTGAGCCTTTGTAAGATTCCCAGCAGCTCTGAGTTTAAAAATTGCACACTGGGGTGCCAGGGTTGCCTCAGGAGCCCCCTCAGCAGCACCTAGTAGTCAGCAAAAAGCTGTCCCCTCACACTTCCTGGGAGAATAATGGAGATCCAAGCTCAACTAGGAATGGAGGAAAAGGAAAAGCAGAGTGAGCTTGTGGGAGCTGAGGAAAGTCAGAGGTTAGTCACATGCAAGACCTGTCCCTGGGTGACTGCAGTTTACTGTCCATCTTCTCATCTATAAAATAAAATGCTTAACTTCAATAGTCATCCATTATGTGAGGGGGATGTCTGAAACCAAAACCCCCAGTGGATGTCTGAAACCAAAGAAAATACCAATCCCATATATGCTGTCTTTGTCTATATATACATACCTGTGATCATGTTTAATTTATAAATTAGGAATGGTAGATTAACAGTAACTAATAGCAAAATAGTACAATTATAACTATAAACTGTAATAAAAGTTAATTAAATTATGAATTGTTCATTTCTGGAATTTCCTCTTTAATATTCTTGGATGACAGTTGACCCTGGGTATCTGAAACTTCAGAGAGCAAAACTGTGGATGGGGGAGGGGAGAGAGGCTACTGTATATGCCTGCTTCCCACACTGCTCTACAGAATATCAGCCTGGCAAAATAATTATGGAACAGTACAAACAGAAAGCGTGCTCCACATGCAGATAAGTTTCTAAAACAACATAACTAATTAGAGTTAAATTCTTGGCATCTCTGCTACTCCAGTGTAGACTGCTCCTGAGGGAGGGGAGCTAGGTGATGCTACATTTCCCATACACTTGACCAGAGATGCCAATTTGCTCACAGAATATCTGTGACACACTAGGAGACCAAGTGTTCCTTCCAACTTGTTTGGGAAACACTAAACTAAATGACTTCTAACATCCCTTCCTATGGTGATATCACTGTTGGCTCTTTGATAGATGGCAGTGTGCCTGCCATCAGTGTTGCTGGGAGTGAAGGTATACAAAGACACACCCACTGAAGTTTCCAAAAACTGTTAAGGGGAAAGAGGGAAAGTGGAGATGAAAAGAAGAGAAGGGGTGAGGGAGAGAAAGGGCCCAGCACACGAGGAAATCACTGCTTCTTTGCATATGGATGTTGAAGCCTCACAACCCTGGCAGGTGGATATCTTCCTCGTACTCTAGATCTGTAGAGACTGAGACTCAGAAAGTCTGAAGACTGCTGGAAGTTGCACCACCTCTGGGCAGAGGGAGCAGCCGAACCCAGGCCTGGGTTCAGGATAATCAACCTTCATCCCTAGTGAGAGCTGGCCTGGGCAGAAAACAAACACTCTGCATGGCAGGAGAAGATGATCCAATGGGGATGGACTGCCTGGCTTTGGCAGGATAGTTAGGAAAGCAAAGACAACAAGTGCTGACTGGTCAGTCAGTCCTCAACCACACCCCAATCCTCCAGGATGCAAGCCCAAGCCATGTTATCTAAAAGAAAATGTCTTGCTAGATGACATCATGACAAAGAAGTAGTTCAAATCCCTCTTGGAATATTTGTGCTTCTAGGCAGTGATCAACCTCATAGTAAGAGTACAGACGCTCCTTGGCCTATCCCTGTGTGTCATGTTCCTGTAAACCTATCATAACATTAAGTGAAAAACACACTTAATATACCTAGCCTACCAAACACAGCTTGGCCTAGCCTACAAGAACCTTCATTTTGCCTGTTGCAAAGCTTATTTTGTAATAAGGTGTTGAGTATTTCATGTAATTTATCCAATATTGTAATGAAAATGGAAAAACAGAATGATTATATCGTACACTTTCACACTGTGGTAAAGTCAAAAACCCTGAGTCAAAACCATACAAAGTTAGGGACCATCTGTATTCAGTGAAGACCCAGACTCTGTGTGTGTGTGTGTGTGTGTGTGTGTGTGTGTGTGTGTGTGTGAATAGAGCTTCAATGCACACACATTTATTAGGAACCCATGTAAGCATGAGGATTACATAAGCTAAAGATAATAGTTTGTGCCTTAAGGGGTCCTGGGCTTAGTGGAGAAGATAAACATGCAAATGTAGACAACCCTAAAATGTTGTAGATGCTGAAAGCAAAATGATACAGATAAACTTGAAAACCAAAAAGGAAGGGACTAGTTCCTCCTGAAGGATGGGATAGATTTAGGAAGGGCTTCAGAGGGGAAGGGAGGCCTGCATCAGCTGAACAGCAGGTGAGGGCTAGACCATAGAGGAGCCTGGCCCTAAGCTAATGAATTTGGACATTGTCACATGGGCCATTGGGAGCCACTGAAGGAATAGGTCATAGGTCAAGATCTATCATAAGGGTAAGGCAATGGTCAGATTAAAAAGGAGACAGAAAGGCACAGTGGAAATTTGAACAGAGACTTCTGAAGGCTTAGATTCTGGAGCTGGAGACCTCCCCACCCAAGAGCTCACCTGCTCCTGCACCCCTCCTGTTTAGTCTGGATTCCCTGTAGCTCAGCCCATCCTCTCTGGTCAGGAATGGGTCTTATCTGCTCTCCAGAAGAAGGGGCAATGGGTCAGGGCTTCAAGCCAGGCATTGCGTAAATATTAGAGAAGAACTTTTTCTTCATTTTTAATGGATGATTTTATCTTGTTTATGCTGCTCAATTGTTTTCCACTCCTTGCCTGAACATTTTTATCGTCATACCAATGGGGATGCCTTAGAGCCAACAGGATTTTAAATGACCCAGTGCCACAAACAGAGATACAGGCATTTTCATGTTTGCAATTTAATTTGTGAACATGACATTATGGAAAGAGAAAGGTTCTAGAATCAGCCAGAACAGGACAAATATCTCACCTCAGGTGCTGACTAGGTCTATGACATAGGAAGAATTACTTAACTTCTCTGTTCTAGTCTTCTCAAACATGAAGGTCAAAATATGTGAACTTTAATCTGCTTTGAATATTATTTAAATAAAGATATAAGCATGTCAAGAATTGTGAAGAATCCAAGATTTTACCTGCTCTCCAGTGAGCAAGTTAGCTGTAACTGACAGAAGAACAACACTCACTGGTCAAAGACAAAGGGCTTTATTACCCAAATCTCCTTGTGCTCAAGTTCCATGTGGGTGACATGGATGGCCCCAGATGACATTTGAGTTCCAGAAGAGTAACCTGGAACCAAGAACTAGAATATTTTACAATAGACAACAAGCACACCCACCTCTTGCTCTGGATAAGGGCTACTATTGTTTTCTAGGAGTATTTTATATGCAAATGCTTAATATGAACATATTTCAGAACAAAGGGAAGTTCTGTGAGAGACCCAATAATGTAGGTACTTCCTAGCACAGTGCCTGGTACTCCAAGTGCTACATATCTAGGCTCTTAGCCCCTCAAAGTATCCCAGCCTTCTCGTTAGAAAATCAAAAACATCTGCTCTTTAAGCCACATTGGGAAACTTAATACAGAAAACTTTTCTCCAGTATTTTGCTGGGTCTGAGAGATGTAGCTACAGGTTTGTTTATTTTGTTGGCTTGCATACACCTGGGGGCATGTCTTAACTCCTGGATGGATTCATAAATCTAGAGGTCTCTCTTGCCAGGCATAGCGTGTGGTACACACCTATAATCTCAGCTGCTTGGGAGGCTGAGATTGAGAGCATCATGGTTTGAGGCAATACCCAGGAAAAAGTTAGCAAGACCACTTCTCAATCTATAAGCCAGGTGTGGTGGTACATGCCTCTTGTCCCACCTACTCTGGAGGCCATAGGTACAGAGGGCTGTAGCCTAAGGCTGGCGCAGAGCAAAAAGCAAGACCTCTGAAAAATAGTTCAGGGCAAAAAGGTCTGAAGGTGTGGCTCAAGTGGTAGAGCATCTGCCTAGCAAGCACAAGGCCTTGAGTTCAAACCTCAACACTGCAAAAAAAAAGTCTCTGTTGTTAACAAGAGGGTCCCTCAAAGAAGGGTCTATACTTAATACATGCAGACCTTCTGGTCTTTAACTTTGAACCAAACAAATTGGCTGACTTTTATTTTTTAAATAGCTAAAATTATCATTTCTCTCCAAGTAAAAAAAATACAGCCTTTTCTTTGCATTCATGTTCCACAGGGGCAAAGCTGTGACAAGGTCACAGACCAACATGTGACACATGTTCAGTCTTCTAGTTTTCCTACAAAAAATTAAAAATGGGGACTGAAAACTCCAGAGGGATAAGGTACCACAAACATTTTAAATACTGGGCACCTATGCAATACCAGCATCTCTGCTGTCCTAACATCTGTGCTGTACCAGGCACCTGTGCAACGCTATGCACCTGTGCAGAATTGAGCCCATATGCAGTACTGACACCTGTGCAATATAGAGCACCTGAGCTATACTGAGCACCCGATGTGATGCTGACAACTCAAACGAAACTTTTCAAGTCTTACAGTTGATTGTCACTAGTTCAAGAAGTCAAGCTGGTTCTTGGAAGATGACATGGTGCAGATTCGAGTGGCTTTCCTCTTAGAGATGTGAGTTCCTCACTAGTAAGATTCCTTCCCTCCCTTCTTCATGACTGTCAGAATAAGCCAGTGCTGTGAGATGTGAAGAGCGAGGAAAAAAGCCATGGGAGCCCACTGCCTCCAGTAGTTTTCCCTTCTTCCCAAACCCTGTTGAATCATACTATCACAAAGAAATTTTTGATTGTTTACGTGGAGAGGTTCTTTCCCCTTCCAGACATGTTTGATTTTAAAAAAATAAAAGGCTGGATTTGAAAGAGTCAAGCTGAATCAGAATTCTTGGCAGCGCCTGCAGCTAACCCCTGGGGAGGTAGAAGGAAGTTCTCTAAGTTGTTTATTCCATCCACTATTAATCACTTACCATTGAAAAATGATTCTAATAGGAAAAAATGTGCAGCTGCATTACCCAAGGAATACAAATACATGTGTGTGTGTGTGTGCGTGTGTGTATAAATGTGTGTGTATGCATATGTTTAGGGGTACGTGTCTACATCCATTTTAACATATTAAGGATGGTAGAGATTATTTAAAAGAAGCTTCATCTAAGCCACCAATGGTCCAGCAGGCTCGCCATGGCTGGTGCGGGTGAACTTGGCCATACTGGTCTCACAGTGCATTTGGCAGTGTGCCGAGAATCTTGTAAACACTCTCATTCACTGATCCAGAAACTCTACCCCTAAACGTCTATCCTGAGAAAATACCTGAAACACGGACCAAGATTTCAGTTAAAAAGGCTTATAATAGCTGTCTTTGCAGTAGGGAAGATATAGAACAGTTTAAGTGTTCATCATGTGGGTAATGTTAAGAGAATTATGATGCACACTTGCAACTTCTGCAGCAAGAAAATGATACTGCAAAGAATTTTTTAATAAGTTGGGGAAATGCTAGTGATATAATGTTAAGCAGAAAATATTAAAATCTACAATAGACCCAGTGTCTATTGTATATTGTAACTCAAGTATGTGTTAAAAAAAAAAACACAGAAAAGTCTACGTGCCTGTTGACAACAACTAAGACCATTAAATATTTCCATGGGAGTGAAAGAAGCTCTTCTGAGACTGTGTCCTTTTTGGAGGCTGAGGTCAGTGTATACCTCTCCCCTTTGCCCTCCAAAGTTAGACCCCTTCATGGGTTTGCCTATAATAGTACTGCCCAGTGCCTGGCAAAGTGACCCACCCTGGAGCATTGTGCAGTCCAC